TATACCATCTGAAAGAGCATAAAAAGCTCTTTCGAATGGTTTGTCAACTGCCTCATGATTTTATAGCTTAACAGCGCAAGAGTGCGAAATGTTGAAAAAAACCCTGTGCGAGTTCTTCGCGGCACTACGCTAAGGGATGTGTGAGTGGAACGGTGACGCGTTATGAAATAATAGTTGAAGATCGCCTATGTAAGCAACGTCTGGGTTGCAGCCTGCTCGTTGCTGATCGTGACAAAAAATCTCAAGATGTGGTAAAAATCAAGCTGTCCCATTTTCAACCGAACACCCTAATATATAACTCAAACATTGTAACTTTGTTTGCGTCTTATAGACATCATTGTGTGTGGACCGAAGAGGCTAAATTCCGTTCCCTTATAAATGAGACAAGGCGCAAAAGCTAGGCTACTTTTTCGCGACCATCGCTGGGTCCTTCTATCAATTGATTGATTTATTTACATGTAAGAAAATGAAAGCTAGCTTATCATGTTTGACCAAGCATTTCCTATAGTCATGTAAGCGAGGGCAGCGAAGTTCATTTACAGTTTGCGGTGAAGAGCATGCGGTGCGCCGCAGGGAGGAAGCAAGAAAGGAAGACAAATCTACCTCGTAAACGCTCTTGCAAGTTTTGAAGCAAGGGCATGGAAGAAGAAGCAGTGCGAAGACGTAACACTGAAGAGACGGTAGGTTATCAACCGCCGGGAACAAATATTATTATGCTGAAAGTTTATCACCATGCTTTGGCGGACAGCTTAACCCACGGTCCGGGTTGGATCGGGGACTCCGGCTAGTATCAAATAATATGTTGATTATTGAATAAAGAGTATACGGCCCGTGTCTGCGGCAGTTTCTGATTACATCGCTGAAGCTGTAAGGGGTAGCAGGAATATTATATCAGAGAACTTTTATAAAAGAATGATGCACTCAAACAGAAGCACGCAAAGAAGCGTGCATAAACATATCGCACGAGACAATATAGTCATTCAAAGCTGGGAGTCCATTGCAATTAGGGAGTCATTCAACAACCGCAGGAAAAGTCCTTAAAGCAGATAATATTGAGAAAAGGTGCTGCCTTATTGATTCTTCTCAATTGCAACTTTTCAAGTTGACTAACGACAGATACAAATAAAAACTGAGGCAAAATCTCCCCGAAGGAAGCGAGATCAATAAACCGTTAAAGGATGAGGTTCAAAAGAGGTGCAATAATTTTTAATTAAGAACAGCTCGCAGAGGACTGAAAAATGCGGATAGCTTCCTAACAAAGCTGTAGTTCAAGTGGCATGTGCTCAAATGTTTTTCGCCGTATAATTACGTCGCCTCAAAAACAGCTGACTACATAACTAAGGAAGCATTTCAATCGTGAACTTTCCAACGAGATGTATATCGTTTTAGAGGTTCTGAAAGCCATAGTAAACCAGCGTTTATATATTCAATCGGTTTACTGAGCTTGTTCAGAGGTTTTATTTGTATTTGAGTGATAATAAATTTACTGACTTGCTTCAAAGAGGTGCCCGAGTAGCTCTCACATCCTTTCTATTAGCTTTCATACGACATGGTCTTGACTCGTAAAGTGGAACGCTTATAGGTTCTTGCGGTCATTTAGCAGACGTGGAACATTGTTTCTTAGTTAGCCTTTGATTACTTTCCAATGTAAAGGGCGATTTTGGTGGATATATGAGGTGTGCCCTAATGGAAGATTCTTCTTCTGGAGTCCAGACAAAAAATACGAACTGAGATGAAATTTGTGTGAGCCTGAGGCAATGTCGAGTATTTGTCATCGATTGAATCTGCATTTTGCCATATCTGTACTCTTGTGTTCTCGTACGATTCTTCAACTAATAATGCTCATTATTCTGTGTGCGCATTATTGTCATTATCAATATCCTCTTTTCATTTTGAAGAAAGAATCAATAAATATTAACTCGTTTCCTACGTTTCGAAGTTCCAAGGACTGTTTCTCCGAAGAAAAAAGATAGAAGATAGCACAGGTCAAGCCTGGCTCAGAGCATAGTATAGCATTCATCTTGCATCTCTGGGCCTGAGCGGTTTGATTGCATTTTGCTCTCTACAATGGTATCCCAGCGTCGCATGGCTCAATCTAAGAAAATGAAAGAAGCTGGTTTGGCTAATTCGGGATCCACTGTGTCTCCTACTGCTATTCCTGAAGTATCGGAAATGGATGAAGGTAAACTGCTATCGCAGATTCAATCGATTTTAATAAGTAAAGCTCCTGAGGTCATGCCGCTGTCAGAGCAATTGCTTACTTTGTTCAGGCCCCCCACTAGAGAATCCATCGAAGACGAAAAAAGGTCTCGCTCAATCGTGATCTTGGGTGTACCAGAGCTCGAGGAGCGCCAGTTGCATCCGAGCGTCAGTTGCATACCGAAAATGCGGTAA